GGGGGGGGCATCTGGCCACCCCCCCTCATGACTGTCCCCAAGACCCACCTCCTCCCTGCCGGGTGGGGGAGGGCACTGGCAGGGGGCCGTGTGGGTCCTGCTGTGGGGACGGGCTGACCTCCCCCCATGCCTCTCTTACTGCCTCTCCGTTTTCTGGGGGAGGCTCTGGAGGAACCAAGATGGAAAAGATGTGGGGTCTCTGCCCATCCCTCCTGCCACAGGCCCCTCCCTGAGGCCAGTGATCCTGATCAAAGTAGGAAGTAGAAGAAGAAAACATAGAATTTCGTATCTTGAATTACAGTCTCAGTGAGTTAAAAATACATGAGCAGGCCACCCGAGGAGGAGAAGCCTGGGGGCCCCGCATGGCCGTGGAGCCCGGCTGGGCGGCCCGGGCACAGAACCCAGGCAACCAGCCTTCCAAAGGCACCAAGAACCAAAAGCTTTGACTCTTTTGGACAAAAGCAGGGTGGGCAGCCCTGGGGCGCGGGGTGACCGCAGCACGTGGTGGCTCTCCTGGGAAATATGTTCACACGGGACAGTCGTGGGCTCAGAGTAGCTTCCATCTCGAGGCTGGCGCTCCAAGGACACCTGCGGAGGGAAGCCTGCAGAAACGTGACTTCCAAACGGTAGTTCGCGCCTGCTTCCTGCCAGGTCGGGGTGCATGCTGGTCACATAATTGCCCCCTCGCTGTGCCCCCCGCCAGGGCCCCGCCTTCCACAGTAGAACTCGCTGGAGACCTCGCAGGAGTCTGACGGGCAGGAAAAGCAGTTTATTGAAGCAGACGGGGCCGGCGGGCAGGGAGGACGTGAGGATGGGGTGTGCCATTCCCAGCTTAAATAGAGCGGGATGAGAAGACCCAGAAATTAGCCCAGAGCCGCCTTTCTCATCCACAGACACAGTCTGTTTCCTCCCATTTGTTCCAGAGCCACGGGCCTGGGCAGGGGCACGAGTGTGGACACAGCCCGGCTCTCATCTCCCGGGAGTGGAGTGCAGACAGCAACACCCGACTCCCTCCTGTAACCGAATGACCCTGAAACGAAGCTCGGGGAATGAATAATGTAGACCAGCAAGCCGAGAGGGCAGGTGTCGGTCCCTGTCTGTCCTCACAGGTGAGGTGGGACAGGACAGGAGACGTTCTCAGAGACATGAATTTTTTAAATTAAAAACACTCTCCGGGCTTTGCCAGAAGGGCCTGTGAGCGCGATCTCTCTAACGAGCCTGCGCAGGAAGGCTCCCTGCGTCCCCGGGAGCTCCCGTTTCAAGGTCCCTGCACTCACACGCCCCCCACCCCAGACGCCCGAGGCCCACCCACGAGTCCTGGGGAGCAGGAATGCCCTTCCCGCTGCAGATTCGGCAAACACAGGCTCGTCCAGTGTCCCGTTTCGGGGAGACGACCTGCATGTGCCTGCAGCTGGGAGTCCAACCTGTGGACAGGACCGCGAGCCGCCGTGCCCGGGGCAGGCTCCCGCACAGCTGAGGCACTCGGGGGAAGGACGGCGCACCCCTCGCTTCCCCGGTGTGGAGGCTGCACCCAGGGAGCCTCACGGTGAGCGGGACCTGGGCTGGGCGGTGGAAGGCGGGCAGCGGCGCCGCACGCGGCTCCTCTCATCACACCGGGGTCACAGCCTGGCCCCCGACGGCCTCCGAGCTCCCCGCTGACCCTGGAGGAAGAAGCCTGACCGTAGAAACACCTTTTCTCCACGTAACTGGGGGTGAGGTTCGGTTTTCACAAACCCAAAGCAAGGCCCTTGTCTGCGTCTTACGTGGTCTGGGTAGCACCTGAGCCCACCTCGGGCTTGCGTTTAATTCCACACTTTCAGGTTGAGGCCTGCCTCGTGTCCGCTGGCCTGGCCTGGGCTCGGCCCGGCTCTCCCGGGCCAGGCGGCCTGAGCGTGCACCCTGGCGGCGAGGAGGGAGCCCGGGAGGCTGGGGCGTCGGCGCGGCGCCGTGATCGAGGGAGCTAATCTAGGGAGACCGTAGACAAGTGGCCGCCCGCTGGCCGTGAGGGGTCCTGGGAAGCCCGGCACGGGTGTTGGCCGGACGTGCGGGGTCGCCAGCTGTCCCGCAGGCACTCTCTGCCATGTGCTGCAAGCCCTGCTGGGTGGTCTCGGCATCCATGCC